AAAGAACGAGTGAAGCACAAGACTTTGGCTGCAGATATCATTTTGAGTGAGTCCCAGGAAACGGAAACCTTCAATTCACGCGAGTGATCTCTTCATCATTATATGTTTATTATTAAAATTCATGTTTCATGTCTTGCGGTTGTAATTCGACTTCACCCATTTGAAACCTGACTGAAATTCATCACAACATGTAAAACAAATTTAAATATAAGTAGAGTACGTCAGCGAAATGTGTATCAGAACAGGAATGCTCAGAACTTGGCGTAAGATCGTGAACTTTGATGACATTGTCTGGCGCAGCCTTCCAAGTGACTTGGAAGGACACATGGCCTCCAAAACTGGCTGGATGATTGTCGTCATTGTTTTAAGTGGAAGACGACATCTGTTGCTTACTAATTCGCAATTGTAGGTCATTCATAGGTAAAATATATGCCTTTTACTTCAATCCATATAGAGGTTTGCGACGGGCAAGAGATAGCTATTTTAACATCCCTTGAAATAGGAAGCTTTTTTACTCATTTCCTTGCAGGTATCTACACAATTCACACAGCTCTCAACAGCAGTACTCATGCTTTGCTTAGTTTGTCGAATTACCGTCGTTGCCCATATTGCATGATGTGTAAACGTCGCACGAGCCCGAATCAATCAATCAATCAACAAGCAATTTATTATCTGGGGCAACATAATTGTTATCAGCAATGGAAACAATCTTCAAATACATCGAACGTGCATGCGTACATAAAGAAACTATAGTTAAGACCAAATATTAAAGCTATACAACATGAACCTTTACTGTCCTTCAGAATCTGTGAGGAAATGACAGGATTAAGTAAGTCAACTTTAGTTCTTGCCGCTACAGCGTTGTGTGTATTCCTGGTTCCCTAAGCAGTGGTGAAGAGTTTAAAATCTTTCAATGCCGTGGATGTCCATTATTACTCAACAACGCTGTACGAAGTCGTATGGTCTCTCGGTTCTTCTCGAGGAACTGTACCTATGCAGGAGATGTAACACAACATGTTTCAAGAAAGCGTAGTCCATCCTCCATAGATCAGCTAAGAGAACTGGCCCGGGTAACGTGATGATTGGAGTTAAACGGCCGAAGACATGGAGTCGAAGTGCTTCACTCGAATGAAGAACCTGGAATCTCAGGAAATTGAATAATTCTCTCCGTATCATCGAGAATACACCAGTAACATAATCTTTCCAGCTGGAGTGCCATTCAGGGTGATATCGAAATACTCTACAGTGCTGACACAAGATATTGACTGATTATTTGTTGTTATCAGATGTTTAGCAGCTATCGGTAGCTTAGACGATGTTATGCCCATGAACGTCGTTAGATATGTATTCTCCCAGTTGTTAACAGTCGTTATTGCTTCTGATCCAGCGTCCGACTCTATCAGTATAGTACTGCAAAACAGAGGTATCAAATAGACATGGTTATGCAGAGAGAAGAAACATATCATCAGCATAGTTCACACAGCTGACCGGTCTCATAGGCTGGAGGCTGTCCACGAAAGTTAAACAAAGTAGCGCCTGTACTTAATCTTGAAACGCGAAGCCAGCTACATTCCGAAAGAAGACTGCAGCTTACCATGGGAAACACACAGCTTACGGTTCATGACGTAATCGGCTAGTCAATTCAACAATGGCTCAGTTATCCCTGCATCCAGCAATTAAGCAATAAAGATATCCATAGGAATAAGGTTAAATGTGAATGGCAGACCGACGAACAGAGCTTTCATTGCAGGTTTTCCTCGGTCAAGGGTAGCTAAGAAAAGCTCCGTGCAACCGGCTGTGGCATCAAAAGTAGATAAACTTTCAGTAAACGAAAATTACCAGTGGTCTCACCAACTCTTTAGTCGATCTTCAATGACTCGTCGGACCGAAGTCTCTAAACAATTAAGCAAGACAGAGGTCACCGCGATTGGGCGGAAACCTTCCAATTACGTTGCCAATGACCAATGAAATTTTAGGTACTCTTGTGAGAATAGCTGTACGCCAACAATTGGAAATAATTTCAAGACGCATGTAATTGTTAAGAACATGCAGCAGTATACTTTTCAGTTCCAATCTGCAAGATTTCAGCTCTCTGGCTCGAACGCCATTTGGTCCAGGTAGACAGTCACTTCGGTGGGAGCGCAAACAGAGACCAACCTCTGCTTTGACCTCTGGTTTGCCAATGATCAATACAGAGTGTGCTTGTTCCCTCCTTACAGAGAGATTCATGCAGTGATTTGAACATTTTCAAAACAAATTCCACGCCGGAGCAAACGCTCAGTATAGTCGCCAAGATGACAGGCGCTTGAGCGACTGATTACTTATAATTGCTGCATTGGTGCATAATCGATCACAGCTCTCTTCTATTCTTACAAATGACAATATTACTGATATGACATCTAGACCTCCTTTCGGATCTTCACAGGGAGCAAGGTTTATAAAACTGTCACCTGAGAGGCAGGTGTTTTCGCGATTCTGATGCAGTTTTGTTATTGATGAGATAGTAACATATTTTTAGGCGATTTTAACTTCGTGAAGCGAAAAACAGATCTAGCATACAAGAATCGAATACATATTTCTGAACTGCCCATGCCACTGGCAGATATTCCAACTCACTGTATTGGTATCCATTTTTCTGGCCGAAATACAACAATGTTTCACAGCAAATTCACTTCAACGCCATTAGCGTGACAACCAGTGCTGGACCGACCTTTCTACGCATTCAAAGCGCATATCCTTAGACGTTTATTCGTGCGCTTTGTCACACAATCGCATCAACGGAATGTCTCGAGTTTGGCCGTATTCAGCCCTTCGCAGCCTTTCAACGCTTTTGCTATAAGGCATTGGTTATTGCATCGTAAGTGAAACACTTCCTTTCTAAAGATGCCGATCTTCCTCTACTTTTTTCTTCCAGATTGCATGTCTGTCTAGTTTCGACTCGATTATGATGACCTGGCGGTTTGGAGAGAGTTTATTTAGTAACAGTTTATCCCACATAAATTCGTTTTGTTCAATTTCTGCATCAACTGAAGGTAACATGTTTGGAAGGAGTCAAGTGATTCGACATATCGCCTTGCCGTTTGAATTCTATATGCGTCAGGGCCATTGCTGATGTATGCCTCAACCATATTTCTTAGTCATTGGTCAGAGCAACTATCCAGCGCTTTACAGCAACACTGAACTGACTGAAACAAAGTACAGGCAGATTTTCGCTGATACGGGCTAGTCATTGTAAAGTCAAATGTTTTCCAGGTCACCAAACGCACTGGAGGTGAAAGTCATTCTCCCATTTAACTCTGATTGAATGATACTGTCGGTGGAGACCTTAGACCCGATATTGAAGAGAGACGAGGTACTGAAGCCAGTAAATCACCATTACCGTTTCATCACCTTGTTTCACTTGCAAATCCGCTGGGGGTTCCTCACTACATCTGACTTTCTGACGTTAACGACAAAGTCAGCTTTTGCAAATGTGTTACAGTACTAAAAGCGTCAGTTGGCGATGACCATTTCCAGTGCTACTCGACAAGACAACTTTGTTTACGTTCTCTCATTGAGAGAAATGACTGGCGGGATGTCTTATACTGCATCTTCTGTTTAGAAGGTAGCCGACATACGTTTGCCGAGGGCAACAATGTATGGAAGAAAAACGTCAACACAGTTGAACAGCAAAGGTGAAAGCACGTCTCTTTAATGATGCAACTACATAAATATGTCTCCTTCGACTTTTACAGCAGACATGGATCCTGCGTGCATCTCTTCCAAAATGGAAACGCTGTGCTCAGATATGTCGTAGCATTTCAAGATTTTCGACGTCGGCAGAAGATGTAATGAACCTAATGCAGCCTTGAAGGTGGAGGAAAGTTGGCAAACCAAACAACTGGAATTGTTGGCATTGTTCAGTGATTGCAGAAGAGCGAAAATTTGGCCAAAACCAGAGTCCGATTTCATCGAAGCCTCTGATCAGCTG